GGCTGCCCTTGACCAGCGCGTCGAAAGCCCCTCGGTGTCCCTGGCGGGAGCGGTCGGCGCGGTCTGTGCAGGGAGCGGCTGTGAGGTCGGTGCAGCTGTCAGGGCTGGCTCAGCCGCCGGGCGGCCGCCCCAGGGAGCTGGGGAGAGCCTGGCTGGCCACAGGCGGCGCTGACTGCGGGGTAGGCGGCTGGGCTGCTGCAGGGAAACTCCGGGACTGGGCGCTCGGGTGCCGCCCTGCAGCCCTGCGCCAGGACCCAGCCGTCCTGTCGGGGTGCAGTTCAACCATCCAGGGTCTTTTTGGGGTGGAGTGCGCCCCACTTCACCTAGCGGGGAGGAGGGTCCCCGCCCCGTCCGCCTGGTGTCACAGCGCGGGCCTGAGGCCCGCACCCGGCCTCTGCGTCCCACACCTGAGTCACCCCTGGGCCAAGGGCCCAGGCCAGACACTGCCCCCAGCCGCCCAGCGCCCATGGCTGGAACCGGGTGCTGCCAGCCTGCAGGCGGGTCTCGGTGAGAGCCAGCCGCCACCCTTAGGAGGCTGTGGGGGAGCAGTGCTCCGCCCCCGGCCCGGGGGCGCTCCGGCAGCCACCCCCACTGCCGTGAGGGTCCAGCGTCCTCCGTTCTTTTACTTTCACCCCACGCTCCCAAAACAAGGAAAATCTATTATTGGAAGGATTCGGGGGTATGCACGGAATCCAGCGAAGAACTGAACGCCCTGCTCCGTCCACTCTGGCCCGACGCGAGGCGTGGCCAGCGGGCCAGACCAGTCAGATTCGCGGCAGAGGACGTAATGCTCGTTGCTTCCGACCGCTAGTCGCTCGGGTTCTGTTTCCCTCTGTCTGCAGCCTCACGACTCACATGTCTCCCTGGTGACAGAGGTGAGGTCCAGCCAGGGGGCAGTGGAGGCAAAGGGTCCAGTCAGTCTAGAACGTTCCAGGGAGGAGGCTGGAAGGGGGATGGGGGAGCCACAGCCGGCCCCCGCCCCCCCCATGCTGTGTCGGGTGTAAGGGGCAGGTGCTGTTTCCGTGGGTGGTGACCGTGACCCTCCGGGCTGGTGCGGGGCCTCCAGGCAGAAGCCCCAAGTGCTGACCAGCCTGGCGATGTCCCTCAGCCCGCTTTGTCTTCCCAAATCGCCCTCAAGGCAGCAGATGGGCTCCTCAGACTGGCTGGGTCTTTGCAGGGCAGGGGCTCCCCTACCCCTGCGGCCCCCAGGCTGTCCTGCGCCCTCCTTCCCTGGAGCCTCTAGAGTCCAGGGCTGGAGACCGCTGAACCGAGGGTGACCTGCGGCTGCAGCAGAGGGTGCTGGGCACCCTCCCACCCCCGGACAGGTGGGCCGGTGGCTTCCTGCTGGCTCCTCCGTGCGGGGACTGCCCCTCGGGCGCGGCTGTGCCGCCAGTGACCACCAGGGGGCGGTGCAAGCTCGCGGAGCTGGGGCCCAGAGGCCGGGCTCCGTCGCCCAGCTTTTGCCAGCATGGGGACATCTCCCTCCAAGTGCTCCCCCAGACAAGGAGGCCCCCACCAGACCCCGACTCCAGCAGCCTCACACCGACACTGTTCCCTTGGTATTTCCTGAGGACGTGATGTTCGCCGGGCACTGGGTTCAGCAGCCACGGGTGCGCCCTGGCCGCTGGGGCTCTCGTTTGGGGAGGGGCAGAGCAGTATGAATCCTGTAGGGGAAGGTTGCCGGGACCCCGGCTACGGGGGGGGGCTGAGGCCCCTGGGCCAGTGTGGAGCAGGCCTGCCTGGCCCAGGGTAGAGCCGTGCAAATGTCCTGGGGCAGGGGCAAGCCCCGGGCCTTCGGGGGGCAGGTCAGTGTGCTGGAACCAAGGGGCAGGGTGGAGATTGTGAGTTGGGGGGCGGGGGGCGTCACGGGCCAGGGCCAGAGTCCAGGTTTCGTGGACGCCATCAGAACACGCTGCCTGCGGATTGTAGTTGAGGGGTCAGAACCGAGGGAGACGAAGTGGGGCACCTGTGTCAGCCCCTGGACTGGACCTGGAGGTCCAGCAGAGGAGGGAGGCCCGGCCCTGCTCGGCCTCTGAGGCCGGCTCCCCCGTCCCCACACCGGCTGTGCGGGGGCCTCGGCCCACGCGGCCCCTGGCTGCTGGAGGGGTGCGGCGAGGGGCCTGAGGAGGGGGCTGGCAGCCGTTTCTGGGCAAGGCGGAGGGTGAATGCTTGAGACTTTGCAGACCGCTGGCTCTCAGCCGTACACACGTGTGCGCCGACTGAAAGCAGGTGGCCCGCAGGACCCCAGTTTCAAATATAAGTCCGGCCCTCTTTCCTCCCTTCCACCCCCCCAGTTACCCGAACGTTCCGGTTAAAACCGGTCTGGCCGCGCCCCGGGGGGCCTGGCCCCTGGCTGGCCCTGACCTCGTGCGGGCTATTGGCTGCC